CATTATAACCTATTGTCGAACTTTCTATGTTGGATTTTTCTATATATAATAATTATTTTTTGATATATTTTGAAAAATTTGACGAATATATCAATGATATTTAAAAAGTATACATGATTACATATAAAAATAAAATAAAGTATCTTGAAGAGGATTCACTTTTCTGCAAGCTAAATTTGTCTTAGAGAGTATTTGTTTGTTTAACATAACAATAGGCCATTAACGTTGCATTAGACTGTCTGGGTTGCTTGCAAAAGGATGTTTCAGACTCGTCGAATTTACTATTGAATGCAGATTATTCTACATCTCCCTTATATTATCATCGTACAATGATAGGTATCGTTATCGAAAAGGACTTAACGTTATCGTTGAATTTGTAATACTCGCTTGGTGAATCGAGACGTAATCTCTGAATATTATACTATATACACTATGTTTCGTTAATCATTTTGTTATTCTTTTTTTAATTCGAGTTATTATACATTTTCGAGAGTACATTCACGGATTTATTTTAAAATAAAATAAAATAAAATCAATTTTTCGAGTAGTCGTATGAAAAAAAAAATTTTTTCAATATAACACGCCGGTATAATAATACTTATTTTTTCTCCATGCTCTCTTTAAAAAGAAAAAACAAAAAAAAAACAAAGGAAATAAAAGGAACTTTATCAATGTCTAGTTGATAAAAATTCGAAAGAAACAAAAGTATCGTTTGGAGAGATTCTTTTTCATATTTCGCGGTTCTTTTGCAAAAATATCAAAAAGTATCACGCGTAAACTGTACGGAAATCAGATTCTAATTAGGTAGTAGAGATACGTGAAAATATTAATGACAGAGAGAAAAAAGAGAAAGTAAAGAGAGAAAAAAAGAGAGAGAGAGAGAGAGACAGTGAGTGAGATTGGATTATTTTTGTTAATATTCAACATATGATAGGCATATATATATATATATATATATATATATATATATATATACATACACAAGTATGATCCGGTCACTGAGTTGTGCATGCGCTTCATTTCCTCGTTGGGAAATTGCGTTTCGAAAATCCATTTTCGATTCTCATGTACGTACGTCAACGTCTAGAGTGTGCGAGTTAGTTGTACGGATATATTCTTTTGTTGCTTCTACATTTGTGTACACGCAGAAAGGAATTTATGTATATATACATATATATACATATATATACATTTATACATATGTATATATAAATGTATATAAATATATATGTTTATGATGGCTACGTGCAGAGAGTGTTGAGTTGAAGAAGACAATGAAACTCGACGTGTTATTTCCATTATTTTTTCATTCCAACTTCTAACTACGTACGTATGTACGTCCAAATATAAATAAATAAATATATATATATGCATGATCAAAGAATTAGTATACTGAACCATAAAATCGTTTGACTTTTTTCAATATTTATTTAATATTTTATTCCCTTTAAATTTTTATTACTACCAATAAACGATATGGTTTAGATAACAAGTCGTAATTATATAAGAACGTATATATAGATTTTAATCATTAATTATAATTATGAAATTTTTAGCTTTCTCTACATATACATATATACATGTACATATATGTATGTATTAATATATAATGTTTGTAATGTTTATGATTGAAAGAATTTCGTAGAGAGACGAAATGAAAATGGATGAAATTAATGTGAAATAAATATATATATAATTTTGTTTGATAATTTTAATGATAAAAATAATTATTGTTTTACTCTTCATTACGTATCGTTTAAATTTGGTCGTAACAAGAAAGACGAAATCTGTATGAATTATTACGAAAAATATTCTTGAAAATTTCATTTGTCATTTTTTCCATGGAACAAATTAAAAGGAAAAAAAAAGAAAAAGAAAAAGAAAAAGAAAAACAAAGAAAAAAAAATGAACAATGATTTAAAAAAGATGAGGATTTGTGTTGATGGGCCGAAACGGGCCGCGAAAGCACAAGATATTCTCGTTATTTTGGTGGCGAAGCAAGTGTAGCCACTAGAAGCACGCTTGGCAACGAAGAAGAGGCCCCTTCGTTGAAAGTTCGAGGCTCCACTCAACTTCGAGTTGACTCACAAATTGGACTTGCAGTTGGTTAAAGTATAATTGGCATTCGTTTCTGATAACGAAGCGCCACCAGCATCATCCTAGTAATCTAAAAAGCTTTCTACATTCCTTTACCTTCCTATTCTCTATCTCTCTCTCTCTCTCTCTATCTCTCTATCTGTCTCTCTCTCTTTCTTCGCTATTTTCTTTCTTCATTCTATGGACTGACTTATGCATTAGGCTCTTTTCGCATTGGTACTTTTCATTTGAAAGTCCTACCATAGGAAGTGTTTTATGTAATCACGATTTGAAATCAAACGTTCAACGTTGCTATAATTTTTGATATTAATAGAATTATTCAATCCTATTGAATTAATAAAGACTATACTCATCAACTTACGCTCATAACATATGTGACTTAAGGGATTGGAAAGGACAAAATATGAACTACGAACGTGTAATAAGAGAACATTATCGTAACATTATACGTCGATTTATCTATTGAAGTATTACTATCAGTGTAAAATGTAAATACTTTTAATTCTTAATTGGAATTGAAAAGAAAGATATTTGAAACGCTTTAAAATATAAATCATTTGTCCGATAATAGTACTTAGTGCGAATATAATTTAGATTAACATTTTGATATTATCGCAAGTATTATCGATCTATCGTTTCACCACATGAAGGTTGATGCATCTTGAGATCTATGGGGTAACGATGACTCTATTTTAAAATTCACGTTCGCGAAGTAAATCTAATCGAATTTCCGAATAAATAAAAATGAAAAATTCCTGATAAAGATTTTTAATCGCTACCACGAAAATTCACTCATACGAATTGTTAAAATAACGATAATTTTAAATTGAAATCTGAGGTGACATGAGCTAAATGAACATTCTGGCACTCGAAGTAAATCATTGAAAAAATTTACTCGTGATCACTCAATGCTCTTCAACTTATTAATTATAACTTGTGGCCGATTCGGACTTTTTCGTTCTCGACATGATTGATCGATCAGAGAGAGTTAAAAATTCACTTACTACTTAAGAAGTTCTGCGATGGCTCCAAAACACTCGTCCGTGATTTAGGTCGAAATTGAGGGTGAATGATTTGTAGCTGGTTAAACGTGAGGTAGGTCAACACCGAAATTGATCGAGATTCTCTTCAATGATGCACTGACTCTAATTTTTCGGCTATTATTTATTAATGAATTTATACTTCGTGAAATTCTATTGTCTTTCGTAAATAAAATCTGTGCGACTGCTTAAAAAAAAAAAAAAACAAGACACTTTTGCGAACAAACATTGATTCTAACGACTGCATTGCAAGCGGTCGACGCAAAAATACTTGTTATTTAAATTGCGAAATAAGAACGAACGTACAAACACTGATTTATCCGATTAACGATATTTTAATTTTAGCGATAGAAACGATCGATTAGCACGATTGCTTAGCACGCGATTGCAATGATATTTTCAAACAAAAATAATGACAAAATTATTGATATCACGGAATTATTAATATAATAAGAAATTATTTAAGAAATTAATATTAATATTAATATTCCTTTAAATCTTCTTTGATACTTCGAGGAAAAATATCCTAAGAGATTTTCGATATTTACTCGTTGAAATATGAAGGAAAATTGAACCAATAATCGTCAAAGTCAATCGAAAGTTTATTTTTATTGACATTAGACATAATCAACGATCGGCAATTAAAAAATTTAAGTTTAAGTAAAAAAAAAGAATTGTATAAATTATTTAAAAAATGTGTGATTTTTCATATTTAGCACGTGTTATAAGCTTCGAAATGGTTAATCGAATGTAGTATTGTTTATATACTACTTCATTATACCTCGCGTACGTCATACTTTGTTTAAATAATTGTAACGTTAATAGAAGTATTATTATTTCTAACCTTAACCATTTGGAAAGACAGAACTTCGATATGTACTCGTCGAAATGCAAACGGAAACTAATTTGATAACTGTCAAAGTCAATCAAAAGTTCATTTTTGTTGATATTAATAACATGCTGAACTTAAAAGTGTGACATGATTTTGAGTTCAAGTTGAATTACGTTTTATTATTAAAATAGAAAAAATCATTTCTCAATTCACGAATCACGCATTGCGAATTTAGAATTAAATTTTTAAATTCTACATGAATCACGTAGTTGCATATGCTTGGTATATCTATTGGTACAATAACAGTTACTATATATTATAAAAATAATTTTCTTTCAGTCCTATCGTTATAAAAATCACATTTTATTTATTTCATTTCGTAATTTAACTTAATTAGCCATTTATTTTATTGTTTTAAATTCTCTTATATCGTATTTATAAAGCTTTTATAATTATAAATATTAATTCATGTTATTAATTATGTCGAGCAAAGCTTATTGGTTAGGAGGTTCTCAAATGGCAATCGTGAATTGTCATTGGCTGATTGAATTATCTCCGTCTTTCTTTAAGTTGTCAGAGATTGTACGTCGTCCTCTTAATTGCAGATAATTATATTTTTTCTTACATGCATAACTGTCCGGTATATACCAATCGATTATCGAATTTGCGATTTACACGTTGTATTGTTCACAAGATAAAATATTAAAACGTTTAAGAAATATTTCTGATAAGAAAAATGATTGTCTCGTTGACGATACTATTTCATATTAATATTTTTCTCTTATTTAAGACTATAATTTTCTCACGTACGTTATTTTGCACGTTTATTTTCATCTTTTTGACTTGAAAGCTATTCGTTTCGATATATTTCAAACCTCTATGTCGTATTTTTAACATTTCGATATTTTTCAATAATAGATCGAAAAATGATGAGTTATTACGTAGGCCATTACGAGGTGTCGCTATGCGCATGCGCGGCCGACCTGTCTAAACGTGTTGCCGGTAGCATCGCCACCATTTTGAATTCTCGAGTGCCAACAGGTCGTAGAAAGGAATCTCGTCCTCGTAATAACAGGTAATTAGCATGTTTTTATCTAATTTACAACTTTCTCCAATATATCAATCGATTATTGAAAATGCAATTTATGCGTGGCCATGTTCGTAAATCGACACATCGTCGTGTTCAAAAGATATACGCAAAAATAAAATCGGCGTCTTGGTCGGGTTTCTGTCGGATTGTTACGTAATACATTCCTTTTGGAAATTTTCTTCTCTTATTTTTATTTAACGATACTGTAATTAATAATCTTTCATTAATTATCAATAAACGATCATATTTCGTATTATATTTGATTTTATATACACGCACATACGCGTATAATCATATATATATATATATGCAATATATACACATACACACACACACACATATCGTATGGATATCCTCTATACAGAGACGTAATACAAAGAGCTAGCAGATACATAGAAAGTAATTCTCTTTATTCTTTATTAATACGATCTTTTATGTTCCTCTCAGATTTCTACTTCGAAGAATTCTACTACGAAGGAAATAAATGCAGCAGAAAATACGATGGTATCGTTCAACGACCTCGTATAAATAAGTGTATTGGTATAAATAGACGCGTAATAGAGAGAGAGAGAGAGAGAGAGAGAGAGAAAGAGAGATAGAAAATATTCGGCATGAAAAAGTAAACGAGCTGTAAATTTCCAGGAATTTCTTCGGTCGAGAACGCGACAAAAGTGATCATGTGATTCGTATTCTTCTTAGCTTAAGAGAAAAATCTTTTCAGTTCTATATAATTTTTCGTCATGTATATACTTCGTCGTATATATATATATTAATTAATTATTAAATATTAATAATTTTAATGATCAACGATTTTTTGTTAACATAAAAATGATACTAATTTTATTTTTTATTATTTTTTTTTTTTTTTTTTTTTACTTTCATAAGATCAGTGCAATCGTGACTTTGGCAATAAATTGAACGGATATAGTAACGTTTAAATAAAAGAAAACGTCACGAAGTAGAAGCAGTGCTTGTTCGAAATATTTTTATTTATTTTTTTACAATTTAATAAGCTGATTAAATCAAATTAAAGTCGATAGAAATTCGCGAAGTAGTAGCAATGTTTGTTCGTAACATTTTTATTTGTTCTTATAATTTAATAAGCTGATTAAATCAAATTAGATTCAATATTAAATTCGCGAAATAGAGTCATTGTTAGTGAATATTCTTCAACATTATGGTCCTGGATTGCTCATCGTGCAAAGGATCAACAAAGGCTCTGGTAAGTACATTTATTTTTTTTTTTTACTTGCATTATACCATGTATAAATGATATTGTATTGTATTAATGATACTAATATAATTTTTTTTTTTTTCAGATCAAATAAAAGATTAGAATCATTCTTCATTATCCTTGAAGTAGGATGCTCGTCGATGCAATGAATAAATCGAATTTAATGAAAACGAAAAAAATCGCGTAGTAGAAGCAGTGTTTGTTCGTTAATCTAAATTAATATGTGTTCGGTGATTTAAATTAATTTTTTGAAGAATATGTTTAACCACTTGAATCGACTGCGTGCAAAGCAGTCAATTATATAGAGTCAGTGTTTGTTCGTATAAAGTATTATTTATCTTCTTTTTTTTTTTTTTTTTTTTAAACGGTCACATAGACTGCACTTATATTTAAACAATAGAGATTCGCGAATTTAAATTCTGTGTACGTTCTCGTAATTAATAAATAATTATCGCGTATTAGAGTCAGTGCATCATCGAAGAGAGGATCTCGATCAACTTCTACCTACTTTATTTTCAACCAGCTACGAATTATCCAGCCTCAATTTCGACCTAAATCGCTGATGAGTATTTTGGAGCCATCAGAGAACTTCTTAAGTAGTGAGTGGAAAAATTTTAAGTCCTTCCAGTATACTCATCATACAGAGGATGAAAGGTCCGAATCGGCACGAGTTACTGTTTGTATTTTTTTTTTCTTTCTTTGTTTTTCATTTTTTGTTTTTCTTTTTTTTTTTCCCAATAAATTATTAGGACAAGCTTGACCGTGATTAATTCCTCTTTTGGACTTATTCGCGAGTGGTATATTTTTATTTTTATGTGTTTTCCATTGTTCATTTATTATGCATGCTAATTTTTATTAACTCAGGATATAGAGGCTTCTTGTTTAATCGGTTCGATTCATTTAATTATCAATGCAATTAATTAGCATTTTTTTTTGCTCGTGTTTGTTCGCTATATCAATGGTAAAATCGAGCATTCATTTATCTGATTTCGTAATTAAAAAGCATGTGATTTAGATTACATCGTGGATTGTTTCGTACTTAATCTATTTAAATCAAGAAGACAAACGCGATGGATTATAGCTTTGTTCTTCGATTGGAATAGTTACTTTTTAAAAGAACTCGTCCGAGCTTTTTCCATTATTTTATCATGAAAAATTAATTAAACATTTAATCAATTTTATTGATAAAAGAAAAGTCTCGGATAGTAGTCGTTTCTTTTAAAAGGAAAAAGTCGAGTAGAATAATTGTTAAAAAACAAAGAGACTCATATAGTCATAGCCCGCAATGCTTAAATAATAAGTTAATCATTTTTAGCTCAGAATTTTCAACAATTAATATACTAATTCCTGTTACTCCCGTTCATCCTTTTCGCGTTCTCATTTATGCATGTGCCCAGGTTTTTACTCGCATGGCTGAAAAAAAACAATTAGCATGGTTTTTAGTATTAAATTTATGGATCTACACTTAAGAGAATGTCCCAATATTTATTCTTTAAAATCAAACATAACATAAAATTAAATGAAATCATTATAGTAACAAATTAAAAGCCTAATACTAAATTGATGCTTTTTAACGAAATTCATAATCGTTTATTCGATTAACTACGATGCGTACACAATCACCAAAATGTTACGTCAGTTTAAAGCCGATGACCAAAGTGAATTATCGAATATCGAAAATATGAAAACTCATTTCACGTTTGTTCCATAACGTAACGTTGTAACAACCGACGTTATCTGTCAGAACTAGAAACATTAATCCGACCAACGCAAGGATAATATAATATGTCTTAAAAAAGCATTCTTCTTTTTCTCTATTCACGCGAGCTGTCAGATAAGAAAAAAAGAGGAGGAGCTGACGAGTCCGTCAACGCGTTTCGCGGATGAGAAAAGAAAAGAAAAGAAAAGAAAAGAAAAGAAGAGAAGAGAAAAGGAAAGAAAAGTAAAAGGAAAAGAAAAGTAAAATAAAAGGAAAGAAAAGTTCCTTCTTTTATCTTAAGATGAGCGATCAGTAAAAGAAGGCACTTTTCAAATGACATATCTCTCTCTCTCTCTCTCTCTCTTTTTCTCTTCTTAGTTACATCGTTGTGAAAGTAGGCGCAAAAGTATAAGAGAGAAGCGAGAGAGATAGATAGATAGATAGATAGAGAGAGAGAGAGAGAGAGAGAGAGAGAGAGAGGGAGAGAGAGAAGAAAAAAGAAAAGATTGAAGAAAGAAGGGGGTCGGAGTCAAGGAGAGCATAGGAAAGCGTGTACGAGGCGTGTTCCTGTCGGGAGTCATCTTGATGGGGATCGGAGGAGGCTCTGCACCTGACTGTTTCATATTTAAAGTATATTTTCGCTGGTGGGACAATTATTGACGTACTTGGACTAAACGTTACTCGTGATAGTAATGACAATAACTTTACAAGCTCACGGAAGGAAGCATCATTTCCGGTGGCTTCTTCGATGAAGAAACCTGCCAGTCAGAACCAGCCCCCGACGGTCTGCCTCGGCTTACGGCTTACTTATGGCTTGCTTCATGCTTCTCTACACCTGGCTGAATGTGTATAGGCATCGAATACCGACTCGATAGGTCTCTTCTCTTCTCTTCTCTCCTCTTCTCCTTCTCCTACTCCTTCTCCTCTTCTCTTCCTCTTCCTCTTTCTCCTCACTTTTCTTTTTTATTTCTTTTCTTTTCTTTTCTTTTCTTTTTTTTTCCCTTTCTTCAACCCACCTCGTCTTCGAAACTTCCATGCTGATCGATCGAACTCCTCTCCTCCTTTCTCTTCTCGCCAATCTTTCCCTGGTCGAATATTTATAGGAAATATTATAACATTGTGTACTAGTTTTCGATAAGATTTAGGTCAGTATCCAATTGTACGAATTTCGATTCAATTTTTCCTTTATCATTCTGGAAAGAATGAAGTTTTTCTTTTTTTTTCTTTCTTTCTTTCTTTCTTTTTCTTCTTTAGATAACTCATTTTGTCCTATTTTGTTCGTTTATTAGATACACAATGATATCGTTACTGATAGAAATGAAAATGAAATAATTAAATCGTATTTAAGATGCTCGAAATATTTCATATACATAATATAAAAGAATTTACAAATGTTGGTCGATATCGTCGTTCACACGAACGAATGGAAATAATTTTTTCACGAATCGTTTTATATGTTCAAATATTTTTAATATATACATATATGCATATATACGTACATAAAGTATCGAATATCTCTACGAAAGGAAGATACATATATCTCTTTTGTTAAACAAACGAAATTTTGTTAATCCTACGAACTACGAACTACGACGACAACGACTTATCGATTAATTTTCCAATTACGATGACGTCCCATGTCTACAGAGAATATTGCTGCAACGCGAGTCATGATTTTATAATTAAACGGTCGATAAATCTCTGACCCGATCGAGAGTGAGCTTTGAATCTCTTTCACTTATACGTACATGGACAGGATACATAAACGAGCCAATCCATATGAGTATTGGGATAGAAATTAAAGGCTGCCATGGACCGCAATGACGCAACTATCGGCAATCAGTAATAATTGCCGAAGCAAAGTTATGTTTATCCCGTACATACGAATTCATTCACGTTACACGGGTATACATTCTCCATTTCGTAATTTCTCGAAAACAATATTCTCGTTATAGAAAAAGAACGAGATAGAAAGAGAAGAGGATGGTGGAGGAGGAGAAAGAGGAGGAGGAAAAGGAGGATAGTTGGTGATCCAAGACTCGCGAGTTTTGTAGCCTCTAGCTAGAAGATTCTGAAGAACGAGAAAAACCAATCTCTACCGGGTGGGGTAAAAGTTTCGGAACTTTCCAAGACCTTTTCGTAATCCAATCGGCATTTCAACATCCTACTCGTTCTCTTTTACTATCTCACTCTTTCTCTCTCTCTCTCTTTCGCTCTCGTTTCCTCTCAGTCTAGAGTTAAGACGAAGCAGACGATTATTATATCGCAAACGATCGCGGCCAATCACTCGTGGGATGGCCCTGAGCTCCGTGATTTCGAGCAAACATTTGCCGTTGCCCGTTGGCAGCGTATTCAGAGACGTATACCTACACACTAACACATTCCCACACGTATACATACAAACACACAACTCACATATATCTATCTATATATATATATATATATATATATATATATATATATATATAAAGATATACTCGGAGAACGCGTTCAACGTTCTACGTCGTAGAAAGGTCTAACCCGGAGAGCTTTGCGCGTTGCAAGAGTTCAGTCGCGCGCAATCCGCAGGCGGAATACTAACTCACCTAATACAATCAATTATTTCCCGCGGAACATTCTCTCCTTCTGTTTTACTTCCAGGCCTCACCGTGGCATCGTC